TTCCGAGGGACCCGTCGACGTTTGGTGCCCCTCTCATACTGCACCACCCCACTACGACCTGGCGTTCGTGTACACGTGTGTACGTTTTTGAAACACGCCCCTGTTTCATGGGGGCGTGTTTCAAAAACGCACACGTGTACACGAACGCCAGGTCGTAGTGGGGTGGTGCAGTATGAGAGGGGCACCAAACGTCGACGGGTCCCTCGGAACCCGCCTCGGGAAAGGCAGCCACTTTGGTGTACAAGGACGGGACACTGTAGGACCGCCAGAAGAGCAAAAGCGATGACCGGACGTCAGCGTGACGCGGTTTTGCTTCCACTCGCTTCCCCTCTCTCCCTCGTCAACGACGGGAGCCCATGCAAGAGGCACGGAAACCCCCTTCGCGTGTCCGCGGCTCTGCTGCACGTGTCCCGCCGTTCGACAGTTGATGTCAACTGTCAACAGTTGGAAACCGCTTTTTGATCCCGTCGCTAATTCTCCATCATCACGTACTTGTAGGCTCGCACCGTGCCTTGCGTAAACCCTCACACAACCCTCACACAACCCTCACACAACCCTCACACAACCCTCACACAACCCTCACACAACACGCATGCAATGCCCCAAGGCGACCACTGTAGACGATTGTAGACGACTGTTTTACACGTGCGATCACGCATCGGCGATCATGCATCAGCTATCCTAAAGCGCACCTACATACACTCCCGTCTCCTTTCCGAGGCTACATACTCATAACGGCTAGTAAAAAGAAAAAAAGAAAACACCGTCTAGCCCTCGTTGGACCGAAAACGAAAAACCGGACCAACTTGGCATGACAGCGTCAACTCACAGAGCACCACACCACAAATACATAAAAAAAAAAAGTCCCATCTGCCCGAACCAGGAACCAGGCAGCTTCGAGACAAAAAGAGTGCCGGGTGCCAATATTATAAAATGTAGAAAGTTAAAGAAGAAAGACGAGACCAAGCCATACACCGCTTGTGGCGATGACACAGGCCACACCCTAACCGTTGGAAGTCATGTTAGTAGCCCATTGCTTGAACCACAGACTGGCGCGCACCTTTTTAACCATCTTCCCGACGCTCCTAACGATTTTCTGCACAAACGTTCTCTTGACCTTGCGCTTCCGCCTCTTTCGAACCGGCCTGCCGAAATGCACGCCGCTCAAGTGGGCCTTTTTGTTCCCGAGTCGGGCGGCAGCCTCTGTAAAGGAGCTCCAATGGGAGCCATAGATCTTCCTCGTCCTCGCCAGACAGAGCAAGTCAGCCATGGCATATAGAACGCAGGCCTCGTCGCGATCATCGCATTGGCGCGAAATGGACATGACACGGCCGGGAAAGGCGTCCTCCAGCTTGTGGATGAGGTCAACATCATCGGCAGCGACAAAAAACTTGGCGTTGCGATCGGTGTTTGACTTGGAAAAGGCGTGCATGCGGTCTAGAAAGACGGGAAGCTGCGACTTGGAGCGCCAATAGTTAGTCTTCCTGGCGCCTTTGCGGGTGTACTCCCAGTCGGTATCGACGTCAACGTTGTCATTGGCAAGCGTGCGCGAGCGGATGTGAATGCCGATGGCGTGCGCGAGGGCGATGCGATCCTGCGAGTCGACGATATCCAGGACGGCGCGCGACGGCTGCAGCCTCCTGAGCTCGCGGTTGACGTGCTGTGAGTAGGACAGGGTGCGGGGATTGGTGATGGCGACGTAGGCGGACTTCATGTAGAGGTGGGCGTGATGTGGAATGGTGTCCGGGTGCGGGGAGGGCGACGGCGGGACGGGGGAGGTGTGCGGTTCCACGTGGGCAGGGGGCTGGGCGGGGCGGCTGCCGATGGAGTGGATCGAGTTGGTGGGGTGAGTGAGGTTGAGGTGCGGGTGCGGCAGATTGAAGCGCAAGACCTTCTGGGCGGTGCCCGGGCCGTCCTTGAGCATATAATTGACCGGGTGCCAATTCGGCGAGCGTGTGCTAACCTCTGGCCAGGTGGGGAAGTGGTCGAGGACGATGAGGTCTCTGTACAGCACGGTGTCGATATCGGAGCCGAAAGCGCGGGTGTCAAACAAGCGGTTAAACGAGGCGCCGAGGTGCGGGTCGCGCTCCCACACGACAACGGGGACCCTTCCCGTTGCGCGAGCGATAGTCATAGCGGACGCGAGTGCGCGCAGGCGGTTACCAAGGCCGTTCTGCGCGTGTATGAAGAGGACGCGTGCGGCGTGCGTGAGCGGCGGCGGCGGCTGTGCCTGGCGCTCTGCGATCTGCGCGGCGCGCATAGCGGCGACGACGTCTGCGTAGACGAGCTTCCAGTAGAGCGCGGAGGCGTGCGCGGGGGCGAGGGCGGCGACGACGGGCGGCGGGAGGCGGTAGAGGTGGAGCAGCGCGTGGGCGGGCGGCGACGACGCGCCGACGATCGAGTCGACG